GTGGTCTTGGGGAATCACCAGGAATTTGGTAAGGATTATACTGATACTTTTGCCCCTGTTGCTAAAATGGGTACTGTTCGTATTTTGTTATCTGTGGCTGTGGCTAGGAATTGGGAGGTTCATCAGCTTGACGTTAATAATGCTTTTTTGAACGGAGATCTTATTGACGAGGTCTATATGCGGCTCCCACCGGGGTATTCTATCCCTGGCAAGGTGTGTCGACTCCGGAAATCTCTATATGGCTTACGGCAATCTCCTCGGAATTGGTTTCATAAGCTGAGCTCTGCACTCCGTGCTTGGGGGTTCAAGCAAGCTCATAAGGACCACACTCTATTTATTTTACGCCGTGGTCCTGACATTCTTTCTGTTTTGGTGTATGTTGATGATATCTTGGTTGCAGGGAATAATTCCTCGCTTTGTTCCTCTTTTAAGCGATACTTGGACCGATGCTTTCAGCTTAAAGACTTGGGTCCCGTAAAATATTTCTTGGGGATTGAATGTGCCAGGTCTTCGTCAGGCATGGTCCTTTGTCAACGCAAATATGCCATGGAGATTTTACAAGAGGCCGGGCTGTTGGGATGCAAGCCGGCGGGCACTCCCATGCCGACGGCGCACGGGCTGGCTACCTCGGCAGCTCCTCTCCTTCATGATCCCGCCCGATATCGTTGTCTCGTTGGCCGCCTGATTTATCTTACTATCACTCGTCCGGATATTTGTCACTCTGTTCATGTTTTGTCCCAGTTTATGCAGGCCCCAACTCTTGATCACATGAATGCTGCGTTGCGTGTTCTGCGTTATATCAAAGGCCACCCGGGTCAGGGAATTTTTCTGAGTGCTACTAGTAATCTTCAGATTACTGCTTACTGTGACTCTGACTGGGCTAGTTGCCCTCTCTCTCGACGATCCGTTAGCGGATATTTCATTATGTTAGGCACTTCCCCGGTGTCATGGAAGACGAAGAAACAGACTACCGTGGCGCGATCTTTTGCAGAAGCTGAATATAAGGCCATGGCCAACGCGTGTGTTGAGATACGCTGGATGCATGGCATTTTGGGCGCGTTAGGTGTCCCTATTTTATATCCTCCGCGTTTATATTGTGATAATCAATCAGCTTTGTACATTGCAGCTAATCCAGTGTTTCATGAACGGATGAAACATATCGATGTTGATTGTCATACGGTTCGTGAGTCTGTTCAGCGCCATGAGGTGTCTACTCGCTATGTTCCCACGCGTTATCAATTGGCTGACATCTTCACTAAACCATTACCCAAAAATGTTTTTGATTTCTTGTTGTTCAAGTTGGGCATTCGGGATCTTCATGCTCCAACTTGAGGGGGAGTGTTAGCGGATATTTGTAATTAGATGTAGATTTTGTGTTATTGGGCCTGTACTTATAGCCCATTTATGTACTTGTATATATATCGGTTTATGATCAATGGAAAACCAGTTCAATTGTGCTAAATTTTCTACATGTTTCCCAAAGGCAAGGAAATAAAATGTATCTTGGTGGGGATCCCGATGCAGCTGTGGCGTTTTTATATCCCTTCCCTTGTGATGAGTATATTAATACTTACGGAGTATAAAAATTCTGAGCCTCTTTTTAGCCCTGTTTATCCTTGAAATACATGTTGCTCTAATTAAATGCAATGAGATTAAAGAGGCTGTGACGAAAACGTTGTGTTTTTTCCAATGCTGATACGAAAGATTTAACGAAATGTTTTGTATCTTGGCGAGGCATCCCGGGAATTTGACATCCTGGTTCCAGCAATGGCAATCATATATCTTTGCTTAGCAATGGAAAAAAAATTCCAAAGCCTCAACAATAATTCAAAATTTTTTGCTCATAAATTAGAATGGGTGATTTATATGGTGTCAATGTTTGAGCCACTTAAACATTATCACGGCAGAGGCTGTATTTTAAAAATCATGACCAGCTTTTAACTGTAAAGTTGCTGGCACTTGGCCTTCTTTTTGGAATTTTGTGAGTGTATTAGAATTAGGCCTTTGGTGGTTTTTTGGTGGCCAGATCAGAGACTACAAAGAACTCCGAAATTCTGGGGATGAAATGGAATACTTGCGGGTCATGATTGTTCTCTCCTGATGGCCATATTGTCATGGATTTGTGCCATGTGTATCAAAATTGTTTCAGCCATTAGATTGGGAAAAAATGGCGGGAAAATTAGAATGGAATTGTGCTCTGATTTTCTATGGGCTTTTATATATATAGTAGATCACTTTTCCATCAATTTGGCATATATGTATCACTTCCAATTCATATCATCAAGAGCTGCTTAGTTTTGTTGTTCTTTTTCGAATTTATTTAACTTTGAATGGTTTGAGCTTAAATTGTGCGCGTGTGATCAAGTAGTGCTCCAATAATCAATGTTTATGTAGGCTCGAAATCTTTACTCCTTCCGTCATAAAAAGTTCTTCCCAATTACTATTCACATGGTCAAACTTTAATCACTTTCTTTATATATTTTCGTTAGTTATTTGATAAAATAATACAGTCTTGCCACCTCTTGTCTTGTATAACTTTTGATATAATTTTTAAATATATAAATTTTATTTTTTAATTTTACACCTACAATCAAATAAATTAAATTGAAAATAAAGTCGGTCAAACCTCGTAAATAGAAACGAGAAGAACGTTTTAGGATGGATAGAGTATTTTATACATTTTGAATACACATCTTGTAAAATTAAATTAATAAGATTTCATTAATTAATTGATTGAATTTAAATAATAATAATTCATTAAATAAAGAAATTACATTCAATAAAAAGTTACATTAATAAAATAAGATTTGAATAGTAACAACATAAAAAAATTTAAAAATTGCATTACATTACGAAGAAATTAGTGATTATTTGAACGACTAAAAATATCTTCAATCAAATCCGCCGTTAGTGCGTTGTAAATTTCTTTGCTTCGAATTTCTTGGCGGTTTCTTTGTTTCTTTTCTTCATCGATTTCTTCGTACGTAGGCATCTCCTTGTACGGGTGGTAATGACAAATTACAAACCTTTTGTCCTCTATGATGATATTATGAACAGTAATACATGCGTATATGATACTCCTCCTTTTTAATTGATAATAACACTTCGACGAACGATCTAGAATGTGCCACTTACCCTTCAACACCCAGAAGGCTTGTTCGATCGATATATTTCCTCGCCGCCTCATGGTTTTTTTGTAGGTTTGGCGTTTAAGACCCATTGGTTCAGAGAGGGACTTGGCATTTGTGGAATAATCTGGATATATTCCATCGCTAAGATAATATCCATGCTTGTAAAGTGTCTCTCTAAGCTCAAAAGACGAATCAGTGCAGTCTCATTAACCAAATTGTCAAAAATGGGCGATTGATCAAGAACATTGATGTCGTTGTTCAAGTCTGCAACACCAAAAAAAGCATGCCAAAATCACAAGTCATTTGAAACCATAGCTTCGAGCATAATAGTTGGCTTGGAATGATCACCCCGAGAGAACTGATTATGTCACGCAGTGGGATAGTTTTCCATTCCTAATGCGTGCAATCGATGCTCCCAAGCATGCGACAAAGTTGTGTTTAACGGCATGCCTTGCCTGTAACTACTCAATGTCACTCGATGTCGGCTTAGGTAAATATCTTTGAAAATAAAGTTGAATAATAGCTTTGAAAATTTATAATTAAACGCATGACCAGATGCTCCGAGCCAACATCTTCAAGTATCCGTCGAACATATCACTAGCCGTCCCGTATGCCAACTGACGAAGTGCGGCAGTGCACTTCTAGACGCTGCTAAAACCGCGACAGCCTCTTGCATCAAAGCGTCGGGTGAACCAAGGCGTACATGCATCACATTCAATATCGGCGAGTATGCGTAAAAACAAGGAACGAATCATCCGAAAATGATTACTAAAATCCTCTAGTGTATAAACACACGATGTATTGAAGTAGTCGTTGAGTAGTGATTAGTGTGCAGCCGCCCGATCACGGTTTAAATGCTCATGTTGAGTCGAGCATTGGGACGATTCCGCTTCTTCTTGTTGGCCTTGTTGCGACCGTTGATAATAAGTCGTCACCAGAAAACAAAAAATGAGAGCTCTTCTTTCATCGTCAGATGAATATGTTCTCATTTTTTGAATATTTGAGAATAAAAACAAAAAGAATATATTCTTGACAAATTATAGAGAAAATGATAATATGCTGTGTGTGTTTTTTGTGCTGAAAATAAAGGGTATTTATAGTATAAAAATAAAAATATTTTTTTTAAAATAGTGCCCAACGACCATAATTTGGACCGTTGGGGGGGGGGGGAGCCGTTGCTGCCATTCACGCCGCTACGTCAAACGTTTAAAGCAACACATTTGATGCCCGTATGACGCCGAAGAGGGGCGGTGTTTGACGCCCCAATGGCGTTAAATGCCGCATAACAGAGGGGGACGGGTATTATTAGTGCCCTGAGCGCACTTCCTCGTGAATCATAGAGATTGTTTAATGTAGAAAAATTCTTACGAAAAGTTAAATAAAATGAATATATATATATATATATATATATATATATATATATATATATATATATATATATATATATGGGCCGGTTCCTGTGAGAATTCACATTGTGGAGAGATATGATAATGAAATATAGCCGTTGGATCTGATGCATCGTGCACCTCAGATTGCATCCTGCGCTCAGATTTTGAGATAGTGCATTTTCAAAGGATTATGATGCATTATTTCGACGTGATGCATTTTCAAACGATTTTGTTGCACCTAATTTTGATGCAATCTTGACCCTTAGATCGCACAATCTAAAGCATCATATTCATTCTCATTTCTCTCCTAAGATCGCATTTTCACCAGAACTTATATATATATATATATATATATATATATATATATATATATATATATATATATATATATATATATATATATATATATATATATATATATATATATATATATTACACCAAATAAATTTCATGTTGAATTCATGGTGCTTCATTTTTTTCTTGTTTCTGATTCATGGTTGAATTATTTTGGGAGTAGTGGGTTAAGCCTCACTGCGAGCTTCATATTTTTTATTTGCTCCTATGACACTTCGAACATAAAATCAAATATATTCTAGGGTCCTCTTAAATTATATGGAGTCTTTGTCATTTAATAGACAAACGCAGAGAGCCAAAGTTTTTACATATCATTCAATTTAAATATATTTTTATTGTGTTTTTACAATTATGATACATGATGCAATGCTTCATACTTCTTAAGAAATTAACGATTTTTCAAAAAATATATTCGTTATTGTGATGAGCAGTGTTCTTTAAAGTTATAATAAAATATGTATATTTACATATGTAGACATTTTTTTAATTGAACGATATCATTCATTGTTTATACATAGAATTAAATTTTTTAATTGTACTCAATTTATAATTTGAAAAAAGTAATTCAAATTTAGTAGATTCATAACAAAGCATTTTAAATGTAGTATATTTGCGTGCGTAGTGAAATTTATAGACCCGTAAATTATGTACTCCCTTCGTCCCGTAAAACACTTCCTCTTTCTTTTTTTATCCGTCCCTTAAAACTCTTCCTTTTTCCTTGAAAAAGACTTATTTGCCCCCCACCCAAAATAAACCCTACCCATTCAGTACTGACACTCCACACGAATCACATCACCGATTCCCACACCTTCTTCGTCTCTCTAGATCTGAGTTTTCCTTTTCCTCCTCTCCAGATCTAAGTTCGTCTCTTCCTCTTCTGTAGATCTAAATCTAATTTCTCTCTCGAAGAATAGATCTAAAGGTCCTGAACTTCAGATCTTCTTCTCAGTCCTGATCCGATGTTATCCCGCGATCCTTCGATGCCCAGTTTTCAACTTTTGAGTGATAGTGATGATGATTCACTTCCTAGATATGGATCCCCTCCTCCATCGAAGGCTGAGATGAAGAGGGCAGAGTTAAATCGTTGGGGATTTGATGGAGGAGATACAGATTCCTCTAAAACAGACCCAACTTGGAGCTTCCGAAAAAAATATCTAGGCGGTGGTTACTATTCTGACCCTGAACGGAGTTACGGAGAAGAAGAGGATGAAGAGGAAGATGGGGAATCGGTGACCTCTGCGGAGATAATGGAAATGTCTGAGGAGGAATTCCTCTTTGCAGAGCCTACAGGCCCTGAAAAATTTCATCGATTCAAACAGAGTACACACTCTCTACTCTCTCTAATTTAGATCTGCGTGTGAGTATATTTTGGCAAACTAATGATGCAAATCTCTGCTTTACACGAATAAGATGTGTTCATATGTGAGTTGCTAGTGTTGTAATGTCACCCACGTATTGTGTTGGAGACTTACAAAAATCAATTTTGCCTAGGATTGGTCTACCTGTGTTCATGTGTTTATTTTAGATGCCTCTGTTAAAATTTTCCAGAAAAAATCTGTAAAAAAAAACAGATTCTAAAACAGATGTTATACTTCTTCTGCTGCATAAGAAAACAGATGCTATACTTCTTCTTAGCATAAGAAAACAGATGATATACTTCTTCTAGGAACATGATTTTTGGTATGTGAGCCTTTGATTGAGCAGTTCTGTATGGGTCTGGTTCTTCTGGTAGTGCATAAAATGTTGTCTTTTCCTTTGTGATGTTAAACCATTTTTCATCAATATGAATGTAGTCATAAAAATGATGAAATGTGGGGTTTATGGGAATTGATGGGGCAGTAAAATGATCCAAGCAGTATTTAAGTCTCTTGAGCTTACCTTTTTCACACAGAAAAGGCTTGATGGCATTAGAATGTCTTCTTATGGCTTTGCCCTTTAGCCACCTTTGGACTGTTGATTTTGAAACATCCATTGCATAGGCTAAGGCGCCCATGTTCTTCCTTCTGTGAAAGGGTACTGCTAACATTTTTTGCGTGTCAACAGTCACCCCTTTCTTTCCAGAATTCCCTATCCACTTGCACTGAACATCCACAGGTAGGCCTCCCAGCATTTGAGTCTTAGCTATACTCCATATCTTTCCAACTGTTTTGGCTGAGATGTTGAATTCTGCAGCAACCTCTTTCATGCAGCCCCGCTGAAGTTTGCCATTTTTACAAAATTGAAGTAGCTTGTCAACGACTCGTTTACGTTTACGATTACGTTTTTCACAACCTTTTTTTCCCAAACTACTCGTTTCTTCATCTGCTGCAGGGGTGTCAAGACTGAGGAGGGGAACCTGGACTAAAGGTGGTAGGTTCGTACTGCACGAATTTGAAGAAAAGGAAGAGAATGAAGATGCGGTTGACAAAGACGGTGATGATGGCGGGGAGACCATTGATACGTACAGCACAACGAAGAACAAAAGGGATATTTATGGGCATGGTGAGAAGAAGGTGAGGAAGAAGCTGAAAAAGGACATCCTTTAAGTGGGTATTAAATGCAGAAAGAAGTTTCTATTTATAGATTTTGTTTAGAAACTTGATATTGTAATTGGAGGGAAGTTTAAAATTTACCAAAAATAAATTTGGCACAAAAACTTCCCTCCAAATTTGGATTTTGGCATGTAATTGTACCAGTAATAGGGATGGGGAATTATAAATCCCTGCTGTAGCCGAACTAAGCCATTGTGTGGCAGTGTACTTGGTTGTACTTGGCTGTGTACTTTTCCACCTTTTCATTTAATGCAAAACTATTCACTTTTTTCTCTTTACTCCTTTTAATTTCAGGGTTTGGGGGTATTTTGGGAAGGTCAAAGGGACAAATACACTCCCTTAAATTTTAGTTTTAGTCAATAAGTCCCGTGTTTTACGGGACGGAGGGAGTATTTGTTTTTATCAATTTAAAGTGTAATTAAAATGGATTAAATGGCTTTATTTTGAGTCTAAATTAAATCAATTAATTTTATGCTATTGGGTTATTTGAGTGAGCTTGTAAGTTACTCCCTCTCTAAAACAAATAAAACCTACTCCCTCCGTCCACCTTAGATTTTCCCATTGTGCGTTACGATGCTTGACCGACTTTATTTTCAATTTAATTTATTTGAATATAAGGGTAAAATATTAATATAAAATATATATAGTAATAAACTACATGAAAAATTCTACAAAACTAGAAGTGACAACACTATATTATTTTATGAAATGAGTAGTAAAATTAAACAAATAAAGTGAATTAAGTTTGACCCTGTGAATAGTGTATGGGAAGATCTATGGTGGACAGAGGGAGTACTTTGAAGGAGTTATGCATGTTACTAACAACTAATGTCAAGATCACACTTTAGTACTTTACCCATGTGTCGCTACCACCACAATAAGAAACATTTAAATCAAAATGTCAATGACAAAATTGGTGAATCAATAAAGTTGTGATAAAGAAGTTTTAACATTATAAAAGTAGGTAAGTAATGAATAATACAATAAAATTTAGCGATTCATCGTATTTGAATAAGAGAAAAGAAGAGAATTTAATTATGGAGTACAAAACATCTCACAAAGATCATAAATATTTGAATTTATCGTTTTATTTATAAAGAGTAGTATTCTGTAAAACGAATTTTGATTAAAAATAACATTTGGTAATTTAAATAGTATTGAGATTAACGTAATAGATCTCTAATGGACGGACTCATCTCCTCTCCTATCATTCAAGACCTTTAATAATGCACAAGTTGTTTATAACTAAAATAAAAATTTCACATTACACATTTAATAAATTTACCAAATATTATTTAGTTTTTGTCTTAATATTAATATTTTAAAAGTTGGTAGAATATATATTCCTGTGCATCGCACAGGTGAAATACTAGTTTTTTTAAAACCTGAAAGAGTTTTTGGGACGGAGAGAGTACTAAATTCTATCAATTTATCATACCTAAGGATAAAAATAAGAAAAATCAACTACAAAATGTACCCTCCTTAAATTTGCAAAAATTAAAAGTGGAAATTGTTTTTCGAAATGGAAGAAAGCATATGAAAATAGGTAGGAAATAATAAGAGATGCTCTAATTTGGTCGGTGTCGCTTACGCACCTGCTTTCGTTCTATGTTCCTCCATTTTTTCATCTACAATTTGCGTAAATCAAGATTTTGCAACACCTTTCTTCGTATGCTTTTTATTGTTTCTAACTTTATTTCTAGATAGCAGTTTTTATACGGCGTTGTGACATCGTTGGGACGATGGCCTAGGCTAGCTAGTTTGAAGTTTAAACTCCGTAGTTAATTAGAATTTAGAACTCGTCAAAAACAACAGCGCCCTCAACTTTATTTCTACACTAGTATTCTGACCCGTGCCACGCACGGGATCGAACAAATGTATTTTATTTTACAATTTTTTTTCAATTTTTTTTGCACGGTAAATACACAATTTATTACTACAGAAAATTACTCACAGGTAACACAGATTTTGTCGAAATAACTCTCAGGTCTTTCTATTTTCAAAAAGACAACAGAGGTCCTTACATTTTGTTGTAATGACTGGGAGGGGATATTCCACCAATATTTAATCCATAAACATTAATAAATGTATTTTTTCCTATTCTTTTCTAAATGTTTTTATTTCTTTGTTTTTCTTTTTTTTGTTACTATTTTTTAAAGTGTTATTTTAGAAATTCTTCTATAAAATCGTATAAAAATTCAAAATTGTTTGTATTATATTAAAATAAATAAAATTAAAAAAATTTCCAAAAAAGAAAAAACCGAGTAATGGTTTTTGCTTTCACTCACTAAACATCAACATAAATTTGATCGTGATTGAATAAAAAATTAGTGAAAAATAATCCAACAAATGATCTTGTTTGACCTTGTCTTTTATTGATAATCATAGTGAAACATAAAACTATATAGAATTGTCTTGTTTGAAATTTAATGGGGTATATAAACTTTTTCCCAATTATTAACTTTATTTTTTGATATTACAATTGCGCCAATGACATTTTTCCTCGGCTCTTCAACTCTGCGTATCCTTCGAACTATATAATTCATTTAGTGACGGCGTGAGTATATGCATATTTGCCTTCTATTTCGATGCATTAGTCAATCATACAATTTCGATGTATTATTCAATCATATAGTGGATTAAAGTATTAAAAAGTGATTCAAAAACGTCATAAAATGCCGGTAAAATTAGTTGTATGTAATTTCTTTTTTTAATATCACGTCAATAAGAAAATTAATTATATTTTTTACTAATTTTATGTAAACATATCATAAAATGAGGATTTTAGAAAAAAGTTAAAAATGCCGTTAAATATCATTTTAAAAGTTCATACAAATTTTATGTTCACTTAATTATTTCAATTTATTTTATTAACTTTTACTCGTTAGAATGGCCTATTATTATTATTTTCTAATCTCATCATATACATATCATAATTGAATATACTCCGTATTACAGAGTATGTATCAAAACAATTTGATTTCAACACTAAGTTGCTTCGAAAAAAATCTATCCACCATTATTGGCACTAAGAATTATCATAAAAATTCTCAGATGATTTTCTTCAAAGTAAATAAAATAATGAATTTTCAAAATAAGTATAATAAATTCATAGACTATAAAAATGCTATTCCAATACAGATGGTAGTGATATAAGCCATAAATGATACGGAGTAGATGTTCAAACTAAATTTTATCATCAATTTTTTAGTCAAAGCACGAATAAACACTACTCGAAGATTCAAGTAAAATATCAATTGTCTAATACTTCGAAAAACAATAAAAGCAGAGCAACCGAAGAACCAAATTATATGTAGTACTCCGTATTATTTTTTTTAATCTTGACACCATGTTTTGTTAATTGATTCATTACCACCTTAATCTTCAGTTTTTTTAATCTCTTGCATTCTCCTTTTTTAGAGTAGAAAGTACGTGGGTATATCATCTTCAAGTTTGGAAGACCAATTGTCCCCAGATTCCACAAAATGATCGATTAAATCCTCTAAGACAAATGATCGATTAAATCATGTAAGACAAATGTACAACTATTAAATCCCATTAGGAGTTCTCCCATCTCCATTGCTTTTCTACCATTTCAATTTCAAAACCAATTCCCAAATATTAACAACTATATTAAGAAATTCAAACAAAAGTTAAGGGAGACCCATTCACCATCGGTCTCCAATTTTTGAAGATCCAATGAGTTTTTTTATAAAAAGAACTTAGCATATAAAAAAAAAGAAGTGTTACCTCTTTTTTGAATCTGCATTGTAACTTGTAAGTGCTGCACTGGTATCCTCCATGGGCGAGGCTAGGCTCAAAATCCTAGCTCGGACTTGTTGTCACCTCTGCTAGCTTATGCCCCATCGATGTATCGTCAGATTACAAAGTCGGTGGCTAGAGTTCCAAACCTAGCCTTTGCGCCAAGAATCGATCTAGTCCACATTCCACCATAGGTGTTGCCTTAGATGGTTGAGGGTCGAACAACGACATGGGGATGCTATGTGACCTGATATATGTTGGTAAAGTTTCCTCTCTATGTCATGTTGTATATTTCTGCCTACAACATGGTTATCTCGTAGTATATTTTCACCTGCGTCATTCTGGATGATAGTTTCAAACAGAGATTAGTGAATGCTTCCACAAGTAAGAACTCAGTAAATTTTGCATCAAACTTTATTTCCATTAACATACACCAATCAAATATGGTACAAAAGTATGAAGTTGAATAAAGTTCGAAGTATGCAATGACTATAGAATAATATCATAGCTCATTCCCCGCACCATAATCCTCATAAACCATCAGCTTTACAAAATATGATGGCAGAACACACCAACAGATTACAAAATTTTTCTGAACTGCAGTAATTTTCTCCATAAATAGACAATTTTTAAAAATCAAATAAAATTGATAAATCATCAAACTGTATAATAAGTTAATAAGCAGACATGTTGTTTCAAATTGAGATTGATCTTTAGATCTAAAAAAACACATCCTACAGTATATTATTATTAAAAATATCCCAATTAAGGGGCATCAAGCAACCATATCTCAACTCTGAAGACGATTCAAGTTGCGTGTGCCTAATTGTCACTCTAATCAAACCATGGGTTCCACTAATCATTAAAATATATGATCTTTTAAAGTGTGGGTCGGCAAATGTATATATGATCCAGGAATCACATGGACTGTTATAGCATATGAAAATTATAGGTGATTTTTAAAGGGACCGGTGATCTTTTTTGACACAATAGCATTGAGATGAGAATTAAAAAATATATTATATACAGTAGCATTAATATCATACATACTTACCTCAGAATATTTTTATCATCTCGAGACATGATTTATGCAACCGACATCCAATATCTTCAAATATGACACCAATAGCATTGTCTAAAGTGTCAATTACTCTAGTCTTAACTCGTACATGTTTGTCATCATTCAATGTTTGTAAAATCCAGACATCCTTTTTTGAATACAACTCAAATATTAGTTTTTGTGTAAAATCTAGCTAACACAATGCAATAAGTAAAGATTGTAAATGAATTATATATATCAACTCCCAATGTGTGAAATTCTTAAAAACTGGCAAAAATACCTCACTATGATCCATTTCATATACGGAGTATTTATGATTCTACAAAGATGGAATGCAAAAGACTAAGAAAATTAAGAAAAGAGTTTAAAGAAGAAACCTGGATTATTGAATGCACTGAATGAGAAGTCAAAACTAAAAAAGCTGCTTGAATCACTCACTTCACATTTTCTTCAGTCTTATTGCCTGGTGAAAATAAAGAAGATCCTGCTCCTCTGCATGTTCTCTTGGTTGGTAAAGTCATTGTCAAAAATGATGAACCTACAGCCATCAAGATCTATGCGTCCAAATTTAGCATGAAATCTAAACTTCTATATATAATCTAATCCCCAAAACAAAACCAAAAAATTCTTTAATAACAAAGATTTCAAGGTCTGATTTAAAAATCAAGAGTAAATAAATAAATTTAAATAAAAATATAAAAAAATAGTACATTAAGCTAAAAACAATTCATAGATGTTTCCCCTATTGGAGAAGATGATTAAAGCAGCATCATCATCACAAAGGGTAGAAAGCTTATTTGTTTTCTTCATCAATAAATTCCTTCTCTTTCCAAATGTCACTTGTTGGTGTGGGGCATAAACATAGATAACTGAATCAGGTAAATGATACTTTTGTTTCCAAACTTTTTTGTAAACTATTATAGAGTATTGAGTAAAAGGAGAAAATGTTTTGTAAATAAACATCTACAGACCAAGACATTTAACAATAATACACTTAAATAAGGCTAGTATAGATGGATTCAGGTCATTCATTGATATAGAATATAAGAGGTAGATTTTGCATAATGTATAAAATATACGCATAGAAACGTCAAAATCTTTGTTTGTAGGTAAAAAAAATTCTGGAAATTGGAATGGCCTTATATGGTTTAGGAATTAACACAATAACCATATACTTGACGACCCACAATTCTACTGCTTAACACAATGGGCAGCACTCAGCACACAAGTTTCAAATGGTTTTTTTCTTTTTTTATCTTTTATTATAAGTAGGCCCCATGTTTTTTTCTCAAGATATTAATTTTACCTACATAATAATTTTTTTAATTTCATTACAAAAAAACATATAATATTGGTGTACAAAAAATAGTACACTTATATAGTCGGCCTGTATCTTTTTTGGGTTCAATTTTTTTAAATTTTTGTTTATTTTTTTTTTCTTTTGCACAATTTTGTTAATAATTGGTACCTTGAATTCAAGCAAAAAAAAACCTAAAAATTGCAAAAGCTAACCTTGACCGGGGCAGGAAAAAAAACTTTCTCCATTACAATTTAACAAAAGAAGAAAGATTATACTCCAATTGACCATTGGTGATAAATTAAAAAAAGAAGAAACCATTGGTATACTGTTCCAATCATTTTTTTTTCTTTTCAGAAATACTCCGTATATTATTCTCCTTTCAATCACATATTCCTCTCACTCTCTTCTACCTTCTCTAACTGATTTGGTTGGAACATTCTCCTGAATTATCATATACAGGTTCATAAATTTGCAGATAGGAAGGTGCTTGATCATCGGGCCACTAATGCATAGATGCTCCAACCAAATCAGTTCTGATGCAAATTACTAAGGATAATGATACGTTCCCATACTCCTGATCCACTTCGAATTACAGTAAACCAAACAATTGCATATCAAAATCATATTAAATTACCTTTGGGGAAGAATAGGTGCGTAATTGGCGAAGAATTGGGGAAACCGACATGCCGAAAATTTCAAAATTGAATAGAAATTGCTTCCAAATATTGGAAACAAACCTAGATCTTGGATCGTTCAAAAATTCAGAAGAAGATTTGGGCGAGACTTTCCTTCCTTGTAGAACTCATTTCCTTGGTGAAGAGTAGATGCGGAACAGTTTTCAATCTCGGGAACAAAATTTGGGCAAAAAGCTTTCCTTTCCTTTGTCCATTCCTTCCTTGAAAAAGCTGTATTGAGAAGAAGTTTCCTTTTGGATAGCTGTTGTAAATTTGCGTTGGAAAGTTCCGTTAATACGACACGTGTAGGCTTAGTTGTCAAAAAAATAGACCTCTAAATTTGCCACATGTCAACATTCTAAAAATCAAACTCTCAAATATTATATTAAATGATTTATTACGAAGTATTTATTTTAATGGGATCAGATAAGTAATGTTATAATAATACGGAGTAATATGTTAGAATATAAAAAAACATTTCCTGGGCCACAACCACAAAATTGATCTTTTAGTTGAGATGGTTCCTTGACATAGTATTAGAGCCTTGTTGACTAAGAGGTCACATGTTCGAAACTCAGCGTCACTCAGTTTAAAAAATTTAAGGTTTTACGTGCAAGGCTCGAAAAAAACTATGCTTGCACGTGAGGGGGCGTGTTAGAATATAAAAAATATTTTTTGGGCCACAACCACAAGCTTGAGCTTTTAGTTAAGATGATTCTTTGACATAATAATAATAATAATAATAATAATAATAATAATAATAATAATAATAATAATAATAATAATAATAATAATAATAATAATAATAATAATAATAATAATAATAATAATAAACACAAAGTATTGAAAAGATATTAAATAGTAAAGTGTGAGTAGTTAAAATTTATTTTATAAAAAAGAAGCATTTTGGATGCAATATAAAAAAAGGTGAACAAAAAAGTCAAACTAACGTGGTGTTACAAATAATCGTACGGATTACAATGGACAATGAAGATGAATGACCCTTGAAGATAAACGAATAAAATTCCAAATTTATATATATAGAAAAATATAGAATAAATAAAAAAACAAGAAAAGAGCTTCTGATTCTTCAAAGTCTTTTGCTTGAGAGTGAGAACATTACGCAATGGACTACAAGACATTATCCCATACTAGACTAAAGAAGCGAACTAGAACTAAGACAGTAAGCCGTATTTCATACGATCAACTAGACTGAAGACTAGGGCCACTTGGAACAAATGTTTTGACGAACTTTGGCAAACAAGATGTACCAAAATATGCTCTGATTGGGAACTTTCTCGCACATCGAAAAAGAAACAAAAAAAATTTAACATATAACCCTAATGGTCTCTACTGTCATAACCACTTGATTTTATGATTAACCTCTCTTGGGCCATGGCATTGTATTGGGCCTATCATGGAAATACGAAGGAGCCGACGTTTTGACCCATCGGACTTTTAGCAAATAACTTCAGTCAAAAGGTGCTTTAGGGCCTGTTCTTTAGAACTGGAAAAAAAGAGCTGGAAATTGGAAGAAACTGGAAGAAATTGGAAAAAACTGAAAGAAACTGGAAAGAACTGGAAGAAACTGGAAGGATTTGGAAGAAACTGGAAAAAATTAAAAGAAACTGAAAAAACTAGAATAAATTGTAAAATCTAAAAAAAGTTTTTAAAAATTTTTTATGTGTGGTTTTAAAATTATTCTCATTCTGATTCTTGTTGATATAAATTATTATTATTGCTATAATAATAATAATTATTATTGTTGTTGTTGTTGTTGTAGTAGTAGTTGGTGGTGGTGGTAGTGGTGATGTTATTACGTTATCTAAATGATTGTCTTTAGAATATAAAAAAATTACGAATATTATTTTCATACATAAAAAGATAGTTTAAAAAATAATTAGAATATAAAATTAGCATAAATATCAAAATGTTAAATAGTTAAGAGTTATTATGGCTATATGTATTTATTATAAAATAATATATTTGTAATTATATTTTATATATTACAAGATTTTGTTTAAAATATCTGACATGTCACATAATGTAATCAAACCTATTCTTTCTTTAAGGATTGGCAATTTATTTTCATTGTAACCCTACTTTTTGAATAAAAACATAGAACTGTTTTTTTTACATTTTTTATGTTATACTCTTACTACATGAAAAGTTCTTCGAAATAAGAGGTGTCAAGAATATTTTATTTTATCAAATAATCAATGAAAACATCGAAATAAATAAATGTTCCCGCGACTATTTAACAATAATTTTTTAAATAGTTTCCTATTTTTTCTTGTAGATTAATATACAAAAAATGGTATCATTCATATTAAAAAGTTGAAGAAAAAAAATAATGAATATGAATCATAAAAATAGTGAGATGACAAAATGAAATAATTTATAAACTATATTTATGAACATAAAAGTTGTAATTAAAAAAACTATAATAATAATAATAATAATATATTTTTGAGAGTGATTTGTCAGAAAGTAGAAACTGGAAACTAGAAGGAACTGGAAGAAACTGGAAGGAACAGGAAGGAACTGGAAGAAACTGGAAGAACTGGAAGAAAATGGAAGAAACTGGAAAGAACTGGAAGGAACTGGAAAAAACTGAAAGTTAAGAGTTCAAGTCCAAAAGAATAGGCCCTTAGTGGTGAAGGTTTTTTTTGTGTGGATTAATCTTGCTAATAATGAGGAAAATTATAGAACTCCGATATGTTTACTACCCACACTGTCCTTGAATACTTGTCCATTTTTTATTTTTTTCGGTCAAAATTGATAAATTTTAATCTCTAATTAAATAAAAATTATACTAGATATTGATAAAAAAGTAATTTATTAGATTTATTATATCAAATATTTTCAAAATAGTATATTATCTAATTAATATACAATATACGAAGTATATTTTATTTAATTATAAAAGAGTCAAAATTGGACAAATACTCAGAGGGACATAGGTAATATTATAGTTTCTCGATAACTCTTGTTTGTTTGCATGATTTCATTGATTATTTGATAAAATAAAATATTTTTGTCACCTTTATTTTTTAAAGTTTTTTATGTAGTTTTGAAATATAATTTTTTTTATTTCTTTACCAAATCATTTTAAAAGTCATGAGATTTTAGGGGGACAGAGGGAGTATTAACCCTCTAATAGTCACCATGTCCTGATACTTAATTTAACAAAGTAAAATTTGCACTAAATAGGACTAAAACATAATGACTTTTCCAATGTAGGACTTAAACTTTTTTATTCCCTAAATAGGACTTAATAATGACCTAGTGGGAGGAATAATGTCCAGTACTTGAATAATGACTACTTGATGATGACCAAAAATTCAAAATAAAAACATATGGTCGTATATTAGAAAAGTCATTATGTTTTAGTGCTAACTAAAAAGTCAAAAGCTGTAGAGCTCGGGCTAAATTCAAAAGGCTCCACCCGTTTGAACATTTTTTTTGAAAAGCGTTTGGACATCATACCGGAACTTGTTGATATGGCTACGTCGTTAGACCGGAACCGCATGTTTGTCTGTTGCTTTACCACGTTCCCATTCAATCCCGCTCACCGAACCCTTGTATGATTAATTAAAAATATTAACTTATTGAGTGATTTTCTTTTCTTGGCTGATTTGAATTTTGAATGGGTCCGCGCGCACATATATAGACGCCCCCTTTGGCCGGACTAGCCCACTGAATTGTTTGCTCCGCAGAGATGGCTGGCTCCAATGAATGATCGTCGTAACGCCACAGTCGGCATTCTTATTGTTGCAGTAGTTCTTGGAATTATTATTTATGCCATCGTTCAAAGTAGTGTCGACCACGAGAAGGAAGAAAAGAGGAAGCTGAGGCCGCAGTACTCCGTCACGAGCGCCGCGTCGTCGCCGGAAGCCACCGTCGCCGGAAACCTCTTGACAGCGGACTTCAGATTCACCCTCAAGGCCCACAACCCGAACAGGAAAAAGACCATTTTCTATGGCAACTCAACCCAGGTGACCCTTTACTGTCGGAGGATCCGCCGATCACGTCTGATCACGTCGTCTTCGCTCCCTTTGGTCGGCCCTTCCACGCTCCCTCCCGGGAGTGACTCCACCGGCATCGCCTTCAATCTCCCCGTGCAAAACTGGCCCCTCCCAGAGGACACAACATCCTGCCGCATGTTCTTAACCATGACGTTTCGCGCTGGGTTTAATCAGGAGGAGGAGGAGGAATCGAAGCGTCCCCGGATAGAGGTCCGATGCTCCCCTCTCACCTTCAATTTTCAAACAAAGAACTTCACGGGGGACTACGGCACATGTTCTACTTAATTCAAATACAATCAACCAACCCCAGATACGTACCTATCGTCGATATACTATCTCTTCAATTTCTTAAAACAATTCCTCTTATTTACCCTAAAAATCTATTCATCACATCTTATTGTTATCCATCATATCATTCACAGAATTGAAAAGTCAGCTACATATATAATGAATGCATCATGTTTGATTCGGATTTGAATCGGGCTAGATCTGTTTTGAATCGGTTCCATTGATTTGTATTTGAATTCATTTACTTATGCAGTTATGTCATATCGTATTGTGAACTACTTTTTTATTGTTATTCTTTAAGTACGCGTATTTACATTTTATATTTCAATTTTATAATGAAATTGAGTCGCTAATTTTTTTAATTGTTTTTAAATACTAATAACTCTATTTCAATATAGTATATATGTTCATACATTCTAAATCAACTATCATGACTCGTAAAGTTACAACCAACACTGCAAATCGAACATGTGATCTCTCATTTGGAAGAATCATAGCGGTGTCATTAGATTACAAGGTCCTTGGCTTTTAATTTCTAATTTACGGAGTATTACTTATTGCTTTTTTATTGTTCAATACTCCGTAGTGTTTTGACCCGTGCCGGCACGTCATGCACGAGTTCGAACAAAATTTTTGTTGATTCAAAAAATGTTTTTCGAAGTACTCCCTCTGTCCCGGAGTATTCGTCCAGTTTTGACTTTTAGAACTGTTCATCTAAGCACTTTGACTCATCAAATTCTCTCAATGTGTAAGCCTAGATATAGTCATGTGTGATCTTGTTTGATTTGTCTTAACATATAGATTATTAATATATAATTTCTATAATTTTTTAATATACAAATTACAAGATAAAATGAATTAAAGAAGTATATTGGATAGTATGTAAAAATGAAAGTGGACAAATACTCTGGGACGGAGGTAGTAATATTTTTTCGGATTAAAGAAAATATATTTCTAATACGATTTTTAATATTGTAGGCATTAGCATCAAAGTAGAATATCTAACATACATCCGGCGTCCCTAAATGTTTATCACATTCATAATAAAGAGGTAAAATATCAACTTTTTTCTATTCATTTATTTAAAAATTGGAATATAAATAAAAAAATAAAAGTATGATGTGATAGGTGGGTAGGAAAAAAATATAATGTGATATGTAGGTTAGAAAAAAAGTAAGAGTAGAAGTGATTTTTTAATAGAAAGTTGAAGTGTTTTAGGGAATTAGAAAAAAACGAAAGGAGAAGGGTTTCATGGAACGGATGGAGTACATATTCAAAAACATTTTATCAAATAATCAATAAAAATATACAAATAAACAAAATTTCACGTGACTGTTGAAAAAGAAAATGTGGCAAACATTTTGTGACGATGTGAGTAGCAATTAATCTTTTATAATAAAAATTCTTATACACAAAATTGAAAGATTACACGACATAGTGCTTGAATGTTTCATGTCACCTACAATTCACATGGACTTTGGCAATTGCATGTGTCCCAAATGCTCGCCATGTGTTCACATGTAAAAACATTAGCATTAACCACTACAAAAAAAAAGAAGGCAGTACCGGAAGATCCTTAAGGTAATAAACTATTACCGACGGTATTAGTAACAATTATAATAAATGTTATTAATGTTAATCAAAATAAACTATTACTGACAGAAAAAAAATGTTTATTCACATAATTTTTTGTGGGCAATCCGAAATTTAGCGACAGTTATAATAAATGTTAATTTTGGTAAAAATAAGGTATTCCCGACAGGAAAAATGTTTTACCCAAACTACTCCCTCTGTCCCACTCTCTTTGTCCACTTATCTGTTGGCACACCAGCCAATGCACTTCTTTAATCCTTTTTATCTTGTAATTTGTATATTAAAAAATTATAGAAATTATATATTAATAATCTATATGTTAAAACAAATCAAACAAGATCACACATGACTATATTTAAGCTTACACATTGAGAGAATTTGATGAGTCAAAGTGCTTAGATGAACGTTCCAAAAGTCAAAAGTGCACAAAGAGAGTGTGACGGAGGTAGTATATGTTTTGTCGGCACTTCTCTCTTTTTTAACGACATCTTTGGTCTGTCGCTATTACACTGTACTATTTTACACTATATTGGTTCAAGGATTTTGAGAGAAAAGAAAAGGATTAAATTGGGAAGATCAAATAAACAACACTAATCTTGTTGGTCTTATGGGGGACCATCGATCACCATTAAGGATTCGCTATTTTGCTTAGCACGGTATCGGGTATTGACAGCCCAACCTAACGAGGTATATGAGTCGTGTATCTTGCGAAGCCCCTCATGTCCATCCACCGCTTAGTAGTGGGGCTCTGCACTGCCGTAGTGAACTATAGGGGGTGCCGTATAGGAATCTACCTCGGCTTGAGGCTACAGAGAGATGTGGTTAAATACAAAGTGTTCACCTTCTTATCACCAATTGCTTTTAGAAAGCATTTGACACCTCTTTAACTTCAGAACTATGTGCTTAAGCGTGTTGGAACGGGAGTAGTCCTAGGATGGGTGACCCACTAGGAAGTTCTAGAAAACGATCCTATAAGTGGTATCAGAGCGAGGAAGCAGGCTCAAATCCCCGGGGTGTCGCTGGGGGGAGATTGCTGGTCTTATGGGGGACCATCGATCACCATTAGGGATTCGCTATTGTGCTTAGCACGGTATCAGGTGTTGACAGCCCAACCTGACGAGGTACATGAGTCGTGTATCTTGCGAAGCCCCTCCTGTCCATCCACCGCTCAGTAGTGAACTATAGGGGGTGCCTCTTTAACTTCAGAACTCTGTGGTTAAGCGTGCTGGAACGGGAGTAGTCCCATGATGGGTGGCCCACTAGGAAGTTCCAGGGAACGATCCTACAAATCTCTTATGGATAATCATTTTGTATTAGAAAAAGAAAGAACTTTGTGGACAAGAAAAAAAAGAAAGGAGTTTGTGGGACGAATAGAGTACATAATTTGTGTGTACTCAATCATAACTTAGCATATTTAATCCTATGGTCTTCCCAGTTCACTAATTTTTAATCAAAGTAAGTGATTAAGGGGATTTTTTGTGATGGCCTTGGCCTATAGGAGATCTAGATGTCTAATTAAAACAACTCTCTCCTAACAAATAATCATTTCTTTACTACTTAGATAAGCATCCGTTTTATTTTTATAAAAATAAAAAAACTACTCCCTCCGTCCCAAAAAGATTTACACCTTTCAAAAAAATTGTGTCCCACAATCTCCTACTCATTTCTATTAAAAAACCACTTTTACCCTTTACTTTTTCAAACCCTACCTATCACACCATACCTTTTTCCTAATAATCTACACATCACATTCTACTTTTACCCATCACATCAAGGGTATTTTTGGAAAGTCAACACAAAATTATCCTTTCTTTAATTTCTACTTTAGTCAAAATGGGTAATACTTTATGGAACGGAGGGAGAATTTTTTATGTGATAAGGTTCACAAAAATAGTATGTACCCAAGATGTACCATAAAAGCACTCTAGAATGAATTGAAAAGATACAAAGCCTAACCTAAGGTAGTAAGATTCCAAAGGTCAAACATATACTCCATCCATCCCAATTGGTTTGTATTTGAAATTGGTTTGCATTCCGGTTTTTATTCCAAATACAAACCAATTTGAATTTTATAACATTATAAAGAATAGTTAATATGAAAAAAGCTAAAAAAATATATGATAATATGCATTGGTGCTCATCAGCTCATGTTGATGATTGGAATGTGTATCAGTGCCCCATTTTTAATGAAAAAATGAACAAAAAATAGTACAAACCGATGTGATGCGTGTGCAACCTTTTGAAATGATAGACATTTTAAATAAGTTTTTAAAAAAATGAGATATTCATACCTTTTTTCAAACCATTTAGAGCGCTAGAACTATTTTAATATATTCTATTCAAAAATATGTCTTGTCATTCAATACTTGAATCTATAAATATATGAATATCAAGATTATATATTTTTTCAATTATCTATTTTTACTATTATATATTTTCTCTATAAAAATTATGTTCCAATAAAGAAAAATAGAGGCTCAAAAAGTCCTACTTAAAAAGAGGATGAAAATAATTCTTTTTAAAATTTATATTTCCTTTATGAAAATACTTTCATTTAAAAACAAAAGTTTATCATTTATAAAAAATATTTATATCAAAAATAAATACTTTTACAGACTATGAATACTGTGATGTGATAATATATAATATCTCAAAAAATTAAATCTTGATAGATTTTTTATACTCCCTATTATATATTTAAGAAAATTTCAATTATTAAAAAAAGTTATTGAATACATTAAACCACAAAGTTTTCATATTAAAAATTATCTAATTTGCACATGCAAACCCATAATGGACTAATTTTCTTTAATAAATCTCTCATCTTTTATTAGTCGTATAAGATGAGCTATTCTAGAGTATGATTTAGCTCATAACTTTTCGAATAAATTAATACTCGGTAGTTTTTAAAGAACTATATTTTACTCAAAAGACTTTTAATACTCATATTATTTTCATTTATATTAAAAAAGACCCAGCCTAATCATGATCCGTTTCTTTTTTATGATTAAGTTATTTAATTTTTGTTGAAAAATCACATTTATTTCATTTACACAATCTTAAATAAATTCAAAAGTCCATCATGTTTCAATAAAAAAATATTGTTTTAAACTCATCATACTTTAAAGGTTATCATAAATAAATTTCCATAAATGATGAATGACATTTAAAGCATGCCATGTAATTAATTCATGTGTCATGTCATTTAAAAATTGTCATGTAAGATGACACGTGCCAACTTAGACATGGGCCTCAAATATTATAGTAAAAGATTATTATTATTATTATTATTATTATTATTATTATTATTATTATTATTATTATTATTACTACTACTACTACTACTATTGTTATTATTATTACTATTATAATTATTAAAACAAATGTACAAAGTTAGAAATGTTTTACATGTAAATGCATTTACGACGAATAACAAAAATACTTTTCATCCAAATTTATAATATAAGCAGTGGCGGATCCAGAAACTTAGAGAGTAGGGGGCGCCAAATAGGGGTCTGGGTGGCAGCACCTCCATACTTTTTTTAATTCAAACAATGCAAAACATTAAAAAAATAATGAATTTAACCTCAAAAAATTATTCAAATAGTGAATTTGAAAAGTTTAAAGAATAAAATTTCTATATACGGATTGCATTATAACTTAGTTTAATTTTTATATATTTTTAGTGTTTCACTTTCAATTTTATTTTTGTGATTTTTTTAAAATTTGACTTTAAGATTATACTCTTTTAATACCTAAATATTTAACTTTTCTCATTTTTTTCACTTAACACTATCTATTGAAGTCTCTAATACTTTTAATTGGGGTCTCCAATATTTTTAATTGGAGTCATATATAATATATCTCTAAAAACATTAAAAAATCAAAGTAAAAAATTAGATACGGAGTATATAAAAAAAGTAGTAGGGGGCATGTGACCCCAACAAATACAAAGTACATCCGCCCCTGAATATAAGACCTCTCAAATAGGCACCAAGATGATTCTCTTTTATCCATATTTGTATTTTTATACTTTTGTTTCAATTACTTTTTCTTATTAATAATTTAGTTTATTTATTTTTCTTGTCTTATTTAAATGATACTTTTGTTTAATTTGAAAAAGCAATGTGTATCATACTCCGTATTATTTAATCACTATTTCCTTCTCTCTATGGAGTGAAAGGAACAACTTATTAATGAAACATTATTTTTAATTAGGTGACTTTAATGGGAAAATTTTAAACATTAATTTTTTAAAGCACATTCATTTTAGTTTTATATATTAATTAAAAAATGTTTGAAAATGTTCTATGAATATTAATCATTATATTTTTATCATTATGAAATTTTTTTGTCAAAAAATAAATTTTTAGACGTTCCAAATAAACCTTATAGTATACTTTATGGATCCCTTTCTCTTTTTCAATAAGATAATTTTGTATTATTTTCTTTTTTCATTTCTTTTTTTCTATTTTCCTTTTTTCTTCCTTTATTATATTTTTTATTTTATTTTTAGAACATACAAAAAATAATTTGTTTATTTTGAAAAAAAACTGAAAATGATTAACTTTAGATAGAGAAAGTATTTTTTATTTTTTATTTTAGATACAAATAAATTTGAATTTTAAAGCATTATAAAAAGAATTTAAAAAAGAAGATAAAAAATGATAATGCGCACTAATGCCCATGTGGATTAGGAAATAGGCATAAATGCCTCCTTTTTTAACATAAAAATGAATAAAAAATAGTATGGATCAAGGTTGTGGGTCTGAAACCTTTTGAAATGATAGACACTAATTAAATTAATTTTTAAATCAAATAAAATGGTGTATTCGTACTTATTTTTCAATCCACATGAAGCACTAAAACTATTTTAATATATTCTATTTTAAAATATATGTTGTCATTTGGTACTTTAAACTTAAATATATGAATATGAAGACTATATTTTTTCAATTCTCAATTTTTACTATAATATGTTTTCCCTATGAGAAATTTTGTTCTAATAATAAATTAATATCATTTCTTTATTTTTATAAAAAAGATGAAGATAGATTAGTCATGATTAGTTTCTTTTTTATGAATAATTCATTTAATTTTTGTTGAAAAACTGTTGTTGGGTTATGGAACCCGGGGGCCTAGGTAACTAGGCGGAAGAGTATCAAACTAAGTCTGAGTGCACGAAAATATGGGGTCCAGTAGAACTGAGAACAGTATTGTGCTAGTAAAGATGATACTTAGAATGTCCGTCCCCCTCTCCTTAGAGGAAAAGAGGTTTATATACAAATTACAGCTAGGGTTCCGACCGTTGGTCCGTAATCCAACGGTCTGGGCCCACTAAGATTGGGTTGTTCACTGGCGGCGTCCAACCACATAATTATCCCTAGGATTGCTATACAAAGTAGGTAACCAGTAGGGTGGCTATAGCAACTCTGCCAGAGGCATGGCAGGAGTCTAATCGTGGGTCCCTTGATCTTGACTCCATTCAGCTCCCTTGTCTAGATCCGATCCGTAGCTGGCCAGGGCCGAGGCCGAGCACATGTTCTGTATTCGGGATTTCTTCAGAGGGGAGTCCGGCCGGGTCAGTCCGAGGGTGACCCAGACTGCCGAGGCCGATCGCATGATACTTGCCGAGGCGATCTCCGATGGTCCATCTTGGTTTTTGCCAAGTGGGCCTTGGCATAGTTGGGCTGGGCCATTTTTCTGTTGGGCTGGATACCCCCATTCCCGGGTACCCATCATGAGTCCCCTACTTCCTCGGCCGAGCGTAGCGAAGCCGAGGGAAGTAATCCAGAATTGGAGTTTTTGAATTTTGAATTTTGAAATCTTTGCCATGTGTAGGAGTCCCCCGCTGCCCAACTCGAGTACTGACGAGGGTTGGGGAGTGTCTCCACTGGCAAAATTTACACGTGTCCCCTCAATTTTGAGGGGTATGATTGTACTACTTTGGGAGACGCAACGTCTCTGTACTGTTCCTTTGTCTGCCGTTCATGATGATTCCTGATCGTACGCCTAAGGAAGCGCCACGTCTCTTCGCAATTGCGCCTTTTCATTGAGCCGGGTCGGATCCCTTGATCGTATAAAATTGAGAATCTTCCCCATCTCCTCCACTTTTGCCATTTTTTGCGCCGCAGCTCTGTCGTTGGTTTCGTTCACTTTTTCCGTTCGCTTCCGTCGCCGTTGCAGTTCAATTTGAAGGTTAGTTCCCTCTTCCCCGTTCTCATGGCATCTTCTAATTCCACTACTTCCACTCCCGCTGTCGACTCGGCGGTGGTTTGTTTGAAGAAATGTACCGTCAAGATCCCTCCCTCCGCCCCGACGGCTTGATGGGAGGAATTGACCACTCTAGGGTTCTGAGTGCGGTGCCTCTTCACACGTCCGTCACCGTGGCGTCAACGTCCCGGGCACCGCCCTTGAGAAAGAAGAAGAAACCGAACGTTGCCAGAGGGAAGAACCCGAAATCCCTACCCGTTACCGTGCTGGAAACGGGTCCGATTACGAATATGGGTTGTCTTCTGTTGGACGTTGACTTTGACGAGGCTCTCCGCTTCGTGGGTGACGGTTACACAGTGCGCCGACCGCACACGACCAACCATGTTTTCTCTTTGACCTGTCCCGACGCCGAGGTCGGGGTGCACGTGGCGTCAATGCGCTACGGCCTTCGTTTCCCTCCTCACGATCTGATAGTCCAATTTCTGAATTTCTACAACCTCCTGCCGGGTCAGCTCAGTCCCCATTTCTACTAGTATCTCGATTTTCTTGATCAAGTGTCACCAGAGGGGAGTCCCCTGGTCTTTGGATCTGTTCCGTTACATGTTCAAGATCTCCAAAGTGGGGGCTCTTGAGGGAAATTCGTATGCCGTCGTTTCCTCCCAGGCCGATTGTGGCATGGCCGTCTTTCCCTCATCCCTGAAACTCTGGAAGGCCAAATTTGTCTTTGTTTCTGGCTTTCCCGGGGACCGGCATCCCTTCCGCGCCAGGTTTCCCGAATGTCATACATTCATTCGTCATCCTCGGCTTGCGGTCACTCCCGAGCTCCAGGCACACGCGCAAAAACTGTTGGAAGACTGTTGGCCTAAACCGCCTCACGTGTATACGGTGTGTACGGAGCAGAACTTGGCAGAGGTAGGGATCCTTATCTCCCTCGAACGCCAATTCGAGTTGACCGAGGCCGTGCTTGGGGGTCGTCCCAATCATGGGCTTGAGGATAGTGCTCCGAGGTCGGAGGATCTGGAGTCGGGGGCGAAGAAGTGGAGGACGACGAGGAGGTGGAATCCGACGAAGAATCAGAACAGCCACCCTATTCCGAGGGGATTGCTGACGTGGATCCTTCCGTAGGTTCGTCCTCCGCCTAGGGTTTTACCTCCCCTTCATTATTTTCTCTTTATCGACTTCTAACTGCTGTTTTATCCTAGCAGGAGATATGAATCCGGTGGATATGATCCGCAAGGCCAAGCTGCTGGCTCGAAATCGCAGCAGAGGAGAAGAGGTGCAACAGAAAATGTCTTCTGAGAACGCATCTGGGCCCATTGTTCCCGTCCCGAACCCGGAGACGGCCTCGACCCGGAACCTGAGGAAGAGGAAGGTTATCCAAGTCGAGGATGAAGATACCGCGTCCGAGTAGGACATGGTCCCAAATCAGGACCCGATGAGCAAACGGCCGACTGGCCCTCTCGGTGGGAAGTGTCCCAATTCCTCTGACAGGGTTGATGGGGATGCCAATGCCGAGGCTGAGGCCGCATCCCTCTCTGCGGTGCTGAAGGAAGAGGATAAGATCCTCCTGTCTTTGCAAAAGCTGGTGGAAAAGGTCAGCCTTCTCGCACTTAGAGAATATATATATATATATATATATATATATATATATATATATATATATATATATATATATTTGTAGATGACTGATTTGATCTGCTTTAGGCATCGGCGAAACTGAACTTGATCAGTCAGCGCCGAGCTGGGGCTGGATTCTCTACAGGCGTAGATTCCTTGGCCTCGGTGGAATCGGAATTGTCCTGCCTAAGGAAATTGGCGGAAACTGAGCATGAGCAGGCCGTCGAGCTCCAAATGCAAGCCGTGGCGAAGTTTGAGGAAGTGGTCCGGCTGCAGGGCCTCCTGAAAGAATCAGAGGAATCAGCCTCCCAACTGACGGGTTCGATGGTTGAGCTCGAAGGGCGGCTGCGTCAGGCTGAGGGTCGAATTTCCGAGCTAGATGTGGAGCTAGTTGAAGCTGTCTTCGCGCAGCGGTCAGCGGAAACGGAGCGAGACCAGCTCCTCGCCGAGAGGGAACAAGCTGCCGCTGAGAAAGAGCGCGCCATCTCCGACTTCCTCCAATCCCCTTCCTTCAAAGAAACCTGCCTGGAGAGGATGGCCGGCTACTATGAAGATTGGATCAAGACTGAGGCCGGCATTGCGAAGATGGGCGTGGAGGGGATGACGTGGTTCGAAAGTGGCGTCTATCACGGGATCAAGCTCGTCCTTCGCCGGACCAGAAGAGTAGATCCGTCCTTTCCCCCGCCTGGGGTTGACATCCCCGAGATGCATGATCCCAACTTGAACGCCGAGCTTGGGGAGAACCCAGACTACCTTGGGACGCCCGAGCACGAAGAAAAAGATGCAAAAGATGCAGAAGGCACCGGCGACGAACAACCCTCAAACATTCTTCCTTAGTGTTTTTCCTTGTAATTTTTGAAATCTCTTCTCTTCTGTAACAAAGATTTTGTCACTGTTTTGCTGCATGCGTGAATAGTTGATAGATTTCTGACATTATTTATTTGGATAAATTTGAATTGCGCCTTTTGAGGAACTGACTCTTTGGCTTCCCCACGCAAACAGACCTAACCACTGGACCGTCGCGCTGTGCCAAACACGTGTCACTGTGCACAGTTTCACTTCCAATCACTGCGACTGTTTGACTTCCTTATCTCTTTGTGCATGGTCCTATAAATTGGCCTTCTCCCTGCATTGTGAAATCCATCCCTTCATCCCTTGTGTTAATCTTTCCATGGCTTCCAATAATTCCGCGAGGATAAATCCTCCGCCTACCCTGTCGAAAACCAATCGTCGCCGTCCTCCTCCTCAGCCGGATGACGCCGAGTCTCGCACAAGCTCGTGGTGGTACCGCGCTAAGAAGTTGGAAAGGCGGATCAAACGTCTGCAAAGACTTGTGAATTACCTTCACGGAGTTCCTCAACAAGCAGCGTTCCCGGTTGAGCCTGCTCAGCCGGCTGCTGATGCCATTCCCGTGGGTGACAATCACCCGGAAGAGTCTGTCGGCTCTTCCTAAGTTTCCCTATTATGGCCCTCCCCTGTATATCTCCCCATGGAGGTTTGCCGAATTGGGGGGGCCATCCACGTCCTTCGGCGCCTGGGCTTTGTTAGTCCTGAAGTCCATTAAGCCCTGGTACTCCCTCTCTTGAAGAGGGAACGTCCTTCATTCGGGCCACCCCACCTTGTTCTTTCCTTATGGCCGATTTGCTTTCTCCCAGCTTCGCCCCCGCTCCGACTGCGGTTGGGAAGTGTACTTCTCCCGATCTGTCTTCTTTGAGTGAGGATTCTGTCCAGAACCCCTTCCGCCGGGAATCTGATCTAACAGAGGCTGCGCAGAAGTCTGGCCGTTTGGTGCGCAGAGTGGGCACGAACGTGCGTGCCTACCTCCAAGGCTTTCGTCGTGCTCACCGGAAGAAGACGATCAGCGCCGACCTCAAGGCGCAGCTTGCGGTCGACCATGGGGATTCCTCAGTAGATTCTTCATTTTCTGAAGAGATAAATGTGTATTTTGATCATTCGGGAAACAGTGCTTCACGTTCTTGTGTTTGAATAATGATGTATCGCCGTTCTGGGCGAATGATGGATACCCTAGACAGGGGGTATCCGGTCTTTATAAAATTAGTTGGGGTGATCTTGTCTGTTGGACAAGCTCGTTTGTCGTGTATTAATTACTTTTTAGGGGCGGCCCAGTCTGTTGGGCCGGCCCATTAGTTTGTATGTATGTTCAAACCCTAACCCTAACTCTCCCTATTTATACCCCTCTTCTAGGAAGAGGGAGGGGGGGGGGGGGAGGGAGGAAGATATTACAACACACATCACACGATACATGGATCTTCTCCATCCTTATTCTTCTTCTTCATACACATTTTCCTCTTCTTCCCTACCCATGGATTCACTAATCCATCAATGGTGCTTTCACTGAGAGTGTCGAACATATCAAGCGTGCTCTCAACAATTTCAAACAAACGGTTTTTTCCATTGGAAAAAACGAAACACTTTCGTAAAAAAAAGCTCCGGGAGGACAAAGCCTGCATCTAGATCCGAACCGAATTATTATCGGGTCCCTGAAGAGAGTTCCCGTCGATGAAGCCAACAAGGTCTTCATCTCCGTTGACGCCGGCGATCCAGGTTGTGGGAGACCTACCTGCTCCGTTCAATTTCTCAGTGGATCCGTCGTCCCAGACTCCCGCGGATCGCAGATTCGGGCCGGCGCGCAGCTGCCCGGTTCCGAGCCTCTAACGGCAAAACGGGCAGGCCATTCCCCGACGAAGCCCCTTCGAATCGACGTCGATACTGTTCAGACCGGTAGACCACAGCGGAACGCAGGGATTCAAGCTGCAAAACTAATTTTGGTCAGGCTAACATCGAGAAGAAAAGGGGCAGATCCGATTTCGATGGGGGACGAGTCAGTTCGTACAGCCCCGCCAATCCCCACCCTTCGCCGGACTCCAATCGGCAACAGATGCGACACATCTGTTGGACCAGCCCAAGGTGAGAGGCACTGTCACGCGACTTGATTGATGGCCAGAACCGGAGGCGAGCCATCCCCTGTTGCGGCGACCAAAGCTGGCAAAAAATCCAGCAGCAACTGTCCACTACTCCACGTCATAACAGGGATGGAAATACTTATTTCCAGTATGTAAAGGAGAAAAGGCTGGGCAAGTGGGCTTATTATCCACATGTGGGTCCTGGAAATCCCAAAAGATAAGTATTTTACACAATTATCTCAACTACTTCGTATTTATTATTATTATTATTATTTATACCATATTATCAATATCATCATTTGATAATAGGGGAAATTACTTGTATAACACTAAAACAATGCCCCTTCCTTTTTATAGCACTAGTGTTAGGAAGTCAAATGTTTTAATGGCGCAGGGGTATGGAATAGACTAAAATGACCTTCCGTTTTTTTGGAAGATCTAAACAACGGCGCAGCAGTCATTCGGATCCCTAAAATCACGACATTTCCTTCGAAGGTCTCTTCTTGTAGAAGGTAATCTGCCTTTAATTTTGGGATGAAATAGGATGCGGATGTCTGCGTTTTTAAACCCTAAATTGAGAAAACGCAGACGGGAAGAATTGAGAAACAGAGTCAAAAAAGCAGGAGAGGTTGCGGCGACGAAGACAATGAGAAGTGATAGTGAGTCGACGATTGTGATGTCGGCGAGGAAGACGGCGATGACGACTGGAGGCGCTATTGACGACAACGACGAGATTGTTGGCGAAGAGGGCAGTGAAATTACTGTGAAATGCGTTTCTGGGAAGGTTAGATTATTCTGTCTATGACATTGTTTGGACATTATTCATAAAGGTGAAGTTTTTGATAGTTTTTAAGAAGGAAAATAATGTATTATAGTGGTGTAGTGTGTTGCATGTTTTTGGGTTTTTTTTCTGAATGATAGGTAGTAGACAGTGTAGAGGATTTTAGGATTATGAGGGTGTTGTTCTTTGAATGTGCATCTTATTAAAGATTAAACCTGATTGAGTGTTTTTGGCGGAATTAAAATCAATTTCAGGAGAAAGGTAGTGTAGTGTTTCCATAGGGTGAGTATACTGTTTTGTTATTGTTTAGTGTATTGTGTAATGGTTAGTATGTAATGGTCAGTAGGTAATTTGGTGTCAGAGTTTAAAAACAGTCCAGTGTGCTTGGTTTTAGAGGACAGTGGTGTTTTTATGTGCATGGTATTAAAAGCAAAGGATCGTAATGGGGTTTTGAAGGGGTTAAAAAACAATAGACTACCAGGTATGTGCATTGATTCTTAGGGCAATTGTAGTGTGAAAATGAGTTTCTTTTGGTCTGGTCCGTATAGTGTTTGTTCTATGTCACTGTAAAATGCTATCTCCATGTTGATTGCAATAACAACATGGGTTTTAATGACCTGAGTAAACCAGTGCAGTGTGTTGTATATATTGTCAGTGTTTAGTTATTTTAAAGATGCTTTCAGCGGGGCAGTGTTTTGGGGATTTGGGAGGCAGTGTTAGGTGAATGTGCAGTGTATTAAAGAATGTGATAACTGCTCTAATGCATTAACTTTGGTGAATTGTGTTCTGTGTGTTCGTAGAAGATTATGTCTGTTTTTTTAGTGTGTTTTGACATGAGAGATTTTTTCTTTTAGGAATACCGAAGGTTGTGCAGAGAAGACATCTTGGCTTCCAAGACAAATGTCAAAGCTAATTGTTATTGTAATGTGTTGAGTGGGGTCGAGAAGCTACGGCGAACATTGTCAGAATCCGAGTTCCAAGATTTGGTCAAGACGCCCTTCGGTCATTTGGTTGATGTTGGCAATCTTAAATGGGTTAATGGACAGCTCCTAATACTTTTAGCGTTGAACTACGTTGAACCTATGGAGCCAGATAGCGATGCAATATCTTTCCACATCCGTGATAGGGTGGTCAGTTTTAAGAAGACTGATTTTGCTCTAATTACGGGTTTCAAATTTGGATGTCCAACAGAACAAGAAAAGGAATACACAGGCACTTCAGACATCAATAAGAGATATTTTGGGGGTAGAAGTGTTGTGACTCGTGATGAAGTGCGGTTGGTCTTAGAGGGTCTACGGGACAACAAGAGAAAAAGAGAGATGGATGGCGTGAAGATAGGAGTTCTTTACCTTCTGGGCAGCCACATAGTTGGAAACCAACCCTCCATGAAATTGCCACCACTTTATTTGCATTTGGTAGATGACTTGTCCCGTTTGAACGCGTATCCCTGCATGGTCCGAAGCGGATTTTGTGTACATCCCACTGCACACGGGCTCTGAATGGGTACTGCTTGTAGTAGACATACGTGGAAAACTCATCCGGGTTTACGACACGAATGTTTACAAAGGGGGTTTCTTGAAGAAATTGCACCCCTTTTTGCCGTCTTTGCAGGTCTTTCTGCCAGTTTTAATGGATAAGCTGGGGGTATATAAGGACATTACGGATAGCGAAGAATCTCACGCTGCTTTTCAAGTTGAACCTATACTGAATTGTCCGCAGAAAAGGGACGGGTAAAACTTTTATATCTTGATATGTGTTTTTATTGAGGTGTTACTGTTGTCCGTTAAGTAGCAAAGTGTAGTTGAAAAGTAGTTGAATAATATTTGAATTTATAAGTGCATTTCACTCTTTTTATTACAGACCAAGCTCCGGAATTTTTGTGATAAAGATGGCAGAGCTTCTGATGATGGGGAGAGAGGTGATTGAAATTGAGCCAGGACAAGTAAACACATTTTGAAAGAAAATTACTGCGGACCTATTAATGTATGCTACCTGTCAAGGACTCTAAATGCCGGGCATAGCAGTGTTATTTAAGTGAATGGATGGTTGCAACCGTCATGGAGACTTAGATCTTTTGATACCCTCTATAAACAGAATGTTTTTTTTCTTTTCCATGTCCATGTTTTAAATTTGAAAGACTTGTAGTTTTTTCAGGTCGTATTGAAAATGTTAACCCATTGAGTTTAGGATATCGAATGTTCATTTTGTTAGTAGAAGCGTGGTTATTTTAGAAGAAGCATAGTGAATATAAGAATGATGGAACAATTACAAGCTGACTTATGCTTGCAAGCTGACTTATACTGGTGCAGTGGATTGGAATGAGGTGTTTTTAAGGGTCGGTGTTGTGTGAAATGATGTTTTTTTAATGGTCAGTATAGTGTTCTGTGATGGTCATTAGAAAGCGCTATATCCATGATGGTTGGTCTATGTGTTTTGTAAATGGTCAGTATATTACGAAATGGGTAGTATGACTAGAGGAGTTCAGTGCAGTGCTAATTATTTCCAAAGTGTCAAAAACATGTTTCGGATAATCTGAGGCTGTAACATATGATAAAGTTGTGGGCAGTGATACATGAGTAAGTTATAGGGCAGTGTTATATGTGGTTTAAAAAATTAGTATTGATTTGTGTTTGCATACTTCTATTAGAAAAATGATTTATTCTTAAAACTATACATAGTAATTCGCACTAGAAAACATTAAAAGGACTAAATATGTAATGAGGTTTTATTATAAAACAAATTAAGAAGAGCGCAGTACTACTAATAAAAGTTGGTTCCTGTGGTCAAGCAAAATAGAGAATAACACTAAAAATGGCGTCCAAAATCAGATAATAAAAAACCGTTTAAAAGTGAAATGCATTTCTTCTGTTAAGGAACCTAAAACTCTGTGGTGCATGATTCATTTTGCTCACGAACGACGTACTGGAAGTGGATTAGTACATGTTTTTTTGTTATGTCCGGACATTGTGCAACGTGAACAAGTCTGCCTCCTCCTCTCTCCGTTAGATGGAATCCTTCTCTTTTTTGGCCTTCCTGGTGGACGTTTAGTGCATGAAGGCGGAAAACATGGGATAGTGGCGACTTCATCAGGGACCATCCATGAGTCTCTAGTAGGAATTGGGTGTATGACTCCATTATACGCAAGTTTCCACTCCACACTTGTGTAGAATGGAGATATGTAGTCATAACATGATAAGCCTGGCCTATTGCGTATCGCGGCAACTGCGTGAACACAGACAAAGTGATCTAGTTGAAACTCCCCACATGTGCAGTTCCTCTCACGGAAATTGACAACATAAGACCTTCCTTTTTTATCAACAACCAAGTACTCATATGAGCATGACGGCCGAACCTAAACAAAAAATGGTAAGAAAATGATGGTACAGGAATAGCGAAATGATGTGATTAAATGAATATGAGTCTGAAAGTGTACCGTCATAACCGCAGATGCCACGTGTAGAGCACGGAGATCAGATTCACATTGTTTGGTCAAAATAGTAGAAGTTGATTGAGCAAGTTCCCTACGATCGTGAAACCATTTTTGCATTCGTCCAACAATGAAATCAACAAGCTGAGCGATGGGGTATTCTCGGGGGGTCGCGTTAACACTGTTCATGGACTCCGCATTGTTCGACGTCATTATGGAATAGCGATTCACATTGAAACATGATCTGGCCCACTTCTCCATGCCAATGGAATATAAATATGGTCTAATCCTCGGATCCTCATCATCTAGTAGGCTCAGGTACCGATCGCAGTAGGACTTTGTGGGTGCGCGTGCAGCAGCAAAAAATTTCCATCTCAGTGCTTTCTAAGAGCCATTGAATTGTGATTTAATATTCCCCAAAATGTGATGAACACAATGACCATGAGGAACACGGGGAAAATGTGCCTTAGCAGCCTTGATGATCCCACCATGACGGTCAGATAAAATGTATTGCACTGGGCGTATATTGAGGGCTTCCTTGAGTTTTAAGAAAAACCAATCCCAATTTGAGTCATTCTCAGCATCGCAAAATCCAAATGCCAAAGGAAATATTTGTTTGTTGCCATCGTGAGCAACAGCAGTTAAGAGAGTGCCCTTATAATATGATTTCAGGAATGTACCATCAATAACCAAAACCGGGAGGCAGTGAGCCCAACCAACCCTCCAAGCCGACAGAGAGAAAAACATATTCTGGAAAACACCTTCAGAAGATCTTGTGATGTCTATCAACGAACCTGGATTTGCCCGATCGAGCATGTAACACATGGCTGGCAGCATGGCGTACGACTCTGCATCACTACCGAATGCAAGCTGCATTGCTCTCTTCTTAGCAGACCATGCTTTCTTGTATGACATGGAAATGCCGTGATCCCTACACATGTCCGTCATAATGGCCTTAGGCGGGTATGGTTTGTTGGTAGCATCACTGTACTTGTATTTGACTAAATCAGCAATGATATCATACGTAGCTTGACGTGTTCTACCCTGGCGTGCATCAATTGGGCATTGATGTTCATGATCATACCTGAGACAGGACAGCATAACGTTAAGTATAACTTGATTTTTTAGGATCATTAATCTAATTGAATCCAATTTTTAAAACACACATGAGAAGAAAGAGATGTGTTTGTTAAAGGTTTATTGAGTAGAATTTTCATTAACATCTGCAGGAATGTCAATACTGGAGAATTGAAGGACAGTGTGTACTCCATTTTAAAGTATGATATTTATTGACCACATGGAGATTATGGACAGTGTGTGTGATACCTGGTGTGGACAGTGTGCGTGGCACACTGGAATTGAATAATGTTTGGACAGTAACCTAAAGTACACATACATATGGGCATTATAGTGTAATAACAGGTTATACAAACAAATTATATTGTGGACAGAAACTGTGATTAAGCTCAATTTTTTTATAGAACATTACAGTATATGGACAGTGTGTCCAAATTCATTTTTAGACATGTTAATTGTTGAGGCAGTGTGCGTATTGGAGTGTTGTGTAATGCACCGTGTATTGCTACATATACTTAATGATATAATTGTTGAGAAAAAAATAGACAACATACGATTTTCTTTGATGCATCTGTAAACGGAATAATAAGACGTACCTACGGATTTGGAACATATTCGTGCGTGGTAATCGAACTGCCCTAACAGCCCAAGAACAGCACCTGTTTTCCACACAAACGACGTGGAGAAGCTTCTTAGTCGACCTCTTAGTATGGAACTAGAACAGGTTAGAGATTGCCAACATTTTGAGATGGTATATCAAGTCGCCCTTGTTCTCATAAATTGCATCCAACTCAATTTTAGTTGGGTCAAAACGAGTTACAACTTGGAAATCAAGGTTGGTGCAAATATCATTTGCAGACAATTCAACAGCAGAAATGTCGTCGTTATCCAAATCTGGTCCACGCACTACAATGTCCGTTGTGTAGCCACCGTTGGCCCTTTGTGAACTTGAAGGACAGTTAATCAAAGGTGAATCCAGTATGTGATTAGTGGACTGGTGTGACGATGACACAGAACGTTCTGCGCTTGCAAGGTCAGTGCTCTCATCGAACAGTGAATTGAAACTTGAAGGAGTCATACACAACGATTGGTCATTTGGAAAAGAAGAGCACGTACCTACATCCGCGTGGTCATTGTAGAAAAGCTCAATACACATAGGCATAGCATTCAAATCCAAATATTGCGATTTCATGGTCAGGTATGAATGTAAGCTTTTGTCATCATCAATCAAAACTGGGTGGGGGGACAAATTGCACTTGTATGAAATCTTTAAAGTAGTATACTCATTAATTTGGCCAATCAGCGAACGAACGGCGTCAATAAGCATTCGAAAGGAACTCTCAAATGAGATGATGAGTTCTTGAAAACTTTTAGAAGTGAAAGTGCCATCACTCGTCCATTCACCATCCAGGCACAGCAATACACGAAACACGGATGGCGCCGGCATGGATAGGGAATTCAGCAACGAAGTAAACATGAGAGATGGGTAATCGATCCGGCGAGAGAGAATGTGGCGATTGAGAGATTAATTTCGCGAGTAACCGAAGTGAATGTGGGGATTGAGGCGCAGGATGAGTAGACGCACGATGAATAGCCGGAAGAAGAATATTGCAGGGAAGAAACGAGTGGGCAATCAGTTTGTTCCTGAAAATTAGGGATAATTAAGGATTTGTTTTCCAAAAATAACAAAAAAAAGGAATGTTTTTAGTGGGCTGGGTTTACACGGAAGGGCTTACTAGGCATTAGGGGTGAAAATTAGTGCTAGTGAGAGAAACAATTAGTAGTGGTGTTATTTAGGTAAAACAACTATGATTTGGTGCTCCTTTGGGTAAATTTCACTTGATAATATTTACTCTCTCATTATTACTATTACCTTGTCCACCACATGTGATCGGATCTCACTTGGACAATGGTATTATTGGTATTACACTTTGTGTTTAACACTTTAAATCCTGATGTGGGGCGGGTGCGAAGCATAATCTCACACCCCACACAGGCCAGCGACCTGCCTCAGGGCATGGCTCAGATCCAACTCATTTAGTCATTCCTTAGCGAGGCCGGGTAAAACCTCCCTACGAGGTGTTGAAGATCGTCCGCGACGATATTATCGCGAGGCCGAGGTAAGCCGTCCACCACGACGCACTCCTATCCGTCTTCTACGACGCGATCTCTTTTCCTCTTCCACGAGGCCGAGGTAAGCCGTCTACCACGACGCACTCCCATCCGTCTTCCACGACGCGATTTTATTTCCTCTTCTACAAGGCTGAGGTAAGCCCTCCCCGCGAGGCACTCCAAATCGTCCGCGACGATACTATTCGCGAGGCCGAGGTAAGCCGTCCATCTCGACGCACTCTTATATATCCGTCTTCCACGACGTGAACTATTTTGCTCTCAGATCTAAGGCGAGGGGTGCATCATTTGTGCCTATCTCACTTACGGGAGTAGCTCTCATTTGAAGACCCCAGTCTCACTAAGGAAGACATCAAGGTTTGTTCTAGACCAGACTACTACACGATCGTCACACTTCGCTGATAAGGCCTATCTTTTGTCCAAAACTTTGGACCCAACTCATATATTGACTTACTTTTCTTGGCCGCGTGGTGATCGGCCCATCCGTGCCCGCGAGCGCCTTGTTCTGAACTTATTTTGCAGGTTAAAAGGATGAGAAGACTAGGCTCAGCCTCAGCCACCGCGTGGGGCACTCGAGCTCGGCCCTAGCCACTCGAGCTTGGCCCCATCCACTCGAGCTCGGCCTCCAGCCTATCGAGCTCGGCCCCAGCCACTCGAGCTCGGCCCCAGCCACTCGAGCTCGGCCC